TTTAGGGGTTTACGGGTTTAGGGTTGCATGTAGGAATCGGAATCCGTTGGTTCGGCGATAATGGAAAATGGATTCGGATTATGATGCACCAGGCTGTTCGGCAACCTGTTGCCAAAAATATAGACATGTTCGATCATTGATCGATTATGTCATGATCGAAACGCAGAAGAAGAGGAATAAACATGCATAGCAGTGAACTGTAGTTCAGGTTTCGGGCGCTCGGCTTAAACTGAAAGGGACTTAGGTTTTAGTGTTCGGAGCCTGTCTAATTACCCTATATAACCCTGGAAGTCTGTAAACTCTACAGGTAAACCCTGAAGCGCGGCACACCTAAGTATCCCTAAACCCTAAACCCTAGTAACTCTAACCCTAAACTCTAAACCGGATGTTACAAACCCAGGCGCCAATGCTTCGAAACCTGCAGTTGAAGGGATTGTTTGTGATCGTGGGCTTCGAAGATGATGTTTATATGAGATGCTGGCAATCCAACTAGCAAAGCCAGGGGAACATGATTCCTGAATGAGGGCCTCAATTGGGGGGGGGGGGGGGGNNCCCCAAACCCTACACCCCAAGCCCTAAACCCTATGCCACGTCTTCCTAGGGCCCGACTATCAAGCAGCGGAGGTTTGGGGAGTGTACGGCTGACAAATTCTCAAAGTCGGAGTGCCTGGCGTAGGCTCGAACTCATGACCTCATAGTTGAAGGAAACTACAGGTGGGGAGTTTAAAGTATATAGGGCTTCTATAAGGCTTCCATAGAGTATATAGACCTTCTGTAAGGCTCCTATAACGGTACCTACCCACCTGAAAATGTCCTAGATATAGAGCCTTGAGAATTAGAATGGGGCTGTGGGGCATAGTATACTATAATCATACTTAGGAACCCCCGAAAGAATATGGGTACTTGTTGAATCTTAAGGCCGCTGTATGACCCGAAACAACCCTGGATCTGTGGCCCGAGGGGCAACAAAACTCCAAACATCCATTTCCCGAGATGCTTCCGAATGAGGAAGCTTAAGGGTTTACGGTTTAGGGTTTAGGGTTTTTAATTTTTTGGTTTGGTAAGCCCCAAAACCCTAAACCCTAAACCGTGGTAAGCCCTATGACCCTCAATCTTCAGGTTCAGCTTTTGGAAAAATAAGGAGCCCCGACAAAAGCTGGGCGTTGGAGGACTAAGAAGACACGAAAAGCCGTACGGTTTAGGATTTAGGGTTGTATGATATCTGAGATTGTGTTAAGAGTACTATAGGAGCCTTAATGATTCGAATAGGGTTTTGGGGCCCAATATACTACAATTATAATAAGGAACCCCAAAATATTTTTGGTAATGGTTTTGGCCCCTACAGTATAGGAAAGCCCGAAGAGCCCTTCAAACGAGGACCACATTGACATCTTCTGTCCTCGAGTGCGGGCGAATTTCGTCACCCACTTCATGCGCTGCGTCACCTCGGTCGTGCCACTTGCATCCCGTAAGCTAGCAATCTCCACAACCCGCCTTATCAACTCTAGTTGCTAAGTCAGCAGAGCATCCGAGAAGAGACACTTATCGAAACTAGCATAGCAGCACCCTAAACCCAAAGGCCCTGAACCCCTACGGCCCGAAACACTAAATCATCAAACCCTAAAGCCCTAAACACGAAATCATCAAACCCTAAACCCCTAAGGCCCTAAACGCTACATCATCAAACCCTAAACCCTTCTTGGGGTCCCTAATGAATAGGCCCAGAGGCTGCATTTCCCGAATTGCCGCTGCCGGCCAGCTGGAGCCTATTTAGGGGTTTAGGGGTTAGGGGTTTAGGGGTTTAGGTGTTGGGGGTTT